CTCTGATTGAACATACAGAACATTTATCAATTATTCAAAACACTTAAAACCACCAGGTGACATCTAATGATTAAAAGAAAAACAAAACCCAAAATTGTTCAGTTACTATGACATATCAATACTTAACAAGATCTTATATATTTGCCCACTATCATCTCAACAGAATTAAAGTCAACTATTTCATAGCAACCAAAATCCTGCAACAGGTACATAAAAAATTATTATTCATTCTCATTCCCAGACTGATACTTTGCAGGTATTTGTTTATGTAAGCTGACAAAAATCTGTAAGTTCACATCGCCTCATTTCATAATTCTATCCATTGCTAAACATGCTGGGAAAATAGTTGGTTCATTGTACTGCTCCAGTAAGTATCTAACACTCCCTGCTATACTCTTTACAAAAGCCCCCAAAAATATTGCTTATATATAGGTTTGATAGAGTTTAAAAGTGTCTATGTGGCCTTGTGGGTGATGAATTATTTTCCACCATACAACCCCTTTCCTACAGATGGGATGTTACAAGCATGGCAAGTGCTCCAATGAGCTACATTTCTTGGTTCCACCAGCCCTGACCTTTGCAGCTGGGACCCACCATGCCACATACACACAAATGAATCATCCTCATTCCCTTCATAATCCATTAATAAGTTCCAATCAGAGAATATAATGTTTTAGCAACATTTAGCAAACTAAATCTGTCTTTTTAATTATTTAGGATATATCAAAATTCAAACTTAGAAAAAAAAAAAAAAAAAAAAAAAAAAATGAAACAAAGAAACTTAATTTTATTTAAAACTGGTTAATTTTGATATCCATGCAACACTTTTTTTTAATTCTTGAAAATCAACATTTAAAATATTTATCAACTTAACTTAATCAATGAAGGTCCCCTTTTCCACAGATGAAATGTCATAAGCCTCTCACTACTCTATCACTATTTTCATGGCATGTTTTCTGATGAGCTGCATTCCTTGGTCCCACCAGCCCTGACATTTACAACTGGGACTTGCTATGCCACATACACAAAGATGAATCATTCTTATTCCCTTCCTATTCCATTAGTAATTCTTCCCAAGAACTACTGCTTTGTGGAACAGAATCCTGGTAGGATATTTTTCCAATCACTACACTCTTGACCTATTCAAGTCTAGCATTAACCGTTATCTTTCCTGAAAAACCTCGTGAATTACACTTCTTGCCTTTTCTTACACTCATACATCACACAGTAACCCTCTACCTTGAGTGGTTCTTGGGCCTTGTATGGGGTGAACATAAAAAAAAAAAAAAAAAAAAAAAAAAAAGTTAAAAATTACTATAAATGAGGTTCTAGCAGTATTCCAATTTATTCGATTTATATTAATTGGATTAACCCTGAAAGGAAAGGATATGACGGTTTGATGCTCTTGGTATCCATCTGCTCATGTAAATTGGAGCCACAGTCAATGGAGATAAAAATAAATTATCCCAAGTGCTTAGCCAAGAGTAAATGGTAACTTCAAGACTTGATCAGGAGATCACCAATGATTACTATCATTACATATTAATTTATGTAATAACTATTAAAAAAGAAAAAAGAAATTGCAATTAAATACGTATCTAATATCTGAAATTATAAACAAGGTAAATTTTAAAAAATTAGTTACTATTATGAGAAAAAAAATGCATACAATTTGAGATTTTAAAAAATCAGTGACAGATAATAATGGACTCTCCCATTGTTTTTGACGCATGACTGTTCAACAGCTCATAGCAGGTGTGTCTGAACTTGCTTAATCTAAGAGCTACATATGATAAAGTTCAGATGTCTGAGAGCTGCAAGACATGAACAAAATTTGCATATATATTTTTGTTACAAACACATTTTGTCACAAAGTTTTTATATAAATTTTAAGAAATACATGTATGCAATAATATTTATTCATATATGCAGTTTTTAAATTGTTAACTTGTATTGGTTTCAGTAAATACTAAAGAACAATCCCTCACTCAAATCTAACATTGAAATTAAGATTTAAATTCTTAAATGGTTTTACTAACCATGAACATTAAACTGACATTTTAATCCAATGAGGTCTCAATTCATATCCAATAAATAATTATATAACTTGAATTTTTTTTCTTATTTACCTTTTATATTAACAGTGATGAAAAATGGAGCTCAGCCAACATATTTTCATAAGCTGCATATCAACGGTCAAAGAGATGCATGTGGCAAGCAAGCTGTGGTCTGGCTAGGCTTTTTTGACAGGTATATTTGTATATAAGTATCTTACATCTAGGCTTGCCATGATCTAGTCTATGACAAGTTTAGATGTTAAATCTTTAGATCCAAATATACCCATCAAAAATTGCTTTAACAAAATCTGAAACAATCTCACCAAATCTAATGGTAATGGTAATATTAGCAGCTTCCTTGTAAGGAAACATCTGGCATTCATTGACCAAACATCCAGTACTGCTTTAAGTTAAAATGTTTTATACATTTTAACTGAAAGCAGTACTTGAACAAGTTTTCAGGAAAATAGATTTTTCAAGTCCAGTAGCTGTTATAATTCTTTCCAGTATTGAGGAGTGCTTCCTTCCTAATCATTTATTTGAAGTAGAGTGGAACATTAACATATTGATTATGTCATTATTTTCTCTTTGAGTTGCAGGTGATATCCATTTTAGCTGCTGCTGCTGTTGACAGTCCTCAAGTGATGTGGTTTCTGTTATCTAGTACAGTTCCTTGTTTGTGTTTCTGTAGCACCAATCTACAGTGTTCGAAGAAGGACGATCTTTGCCAAGATTCACAGAAAAACTTAATTCTGATATTTTGCCAGATTTGAAGAAATAGATCAGGCTGAGAAATTTTCAGTACTGCTTCATATATGATGTCTCTCCTAACAAAAGAGACATTTTTTTATTTTTTTTTTTAATCATGTTCACCCCAAGCAAGACAGTAAAGCCAGAGACACAGGGGATTACGGGGTGTGGAAAAATTAGAAAAAGAACCATTGTTAAGGAGCAAGAACAGAGGAATAGTATTCAGGAGAACAGCAGAGAGCAGTTGACGTTGCATTTAATTTTTTACAGATTAAAGTTGGCTAGAAATCTGGAAGGGAGTTCCACAAGCAAGAAGTTTGAGAAAAGAAACTGTTAGCATAGAATTTACAGTTACATCTAGCCAGCTCAACTGTAAATTACTAAGACCTTGTTGTCAGTCTACTGCTATACTTAAATTCAAACAGTCTAGGCACCATAGTGAAGAGTTCAAACAATTACCATGAAATTATTCACAGAAAAGGCAAAGAGAGGAAACCTTTGGTGGTAGGAAAGTGACTGAAGCTGAGACACCAGAACAGGGTCAATAATATTGCTAATTCCTCTTTGGACTTTATCAAGGAGCTCCAGATAGATAGCAGGAGCACCAGACCATATATGGCAGCATTATTCTCTGTATAACTCATTATCTCTATATAAATATATATGGTACAAGCTAACCTGACCACGACAGTTGATATATTTGCATAATTGTGAAATGTTTAGTACTATTACACTACCCTTGTTTCATCTTGGTAATTCATAATGAGAACATAGCTGATAACTGGAATCAACCAAGTATAAAATTATTTATGTCAACACTTAACTGATACAGGAGAAAGCAATCTAGAGAAAAATATACATGCACCTCCTTTTTTTTTACCCTTACATATTAATTAAACATTTTACAGTGGAAACATTTGTATGATGACAAGTACCTAAAGATGAAAATTCAAAAAATACAATTTAATAACAAAGAAGATAGCCAAAAGCCCCCAAATATTAATATTGTAATTTGAAACAACTATAGAATAGAAAGAATTATTTACTCATCAGTACACTGACCTGTAGAGAGAAGCTCTTCCAGGTTTACTTGCCCAATATAAACTACATATGAATGGACACCCTTCCAAATTTCAACCCAGATACTGGCACACAACAGAGATATGTAGAGGGAGCTGGTCAGGTGCTCAGCGACCTTCAACAACAGCAAGTCATGGGTATGATGATGATAATGAATGACATAGAAAAATTGCACATGTAGCACCAACAACCACATATATAACACTGTGATGAATACATTCAAGAATGTCTCAACTGTTCACATTCATACAGTAGCAGAATTGTGTTAACTAAATGTCAAGATGGTAAAGTGAAAGGTAATTATGGTTTACTAATAAGACAAAATGTTATTCATACTTAAATGGCTATTAGCCCTATCTTTTGTTTTTAATATTTTACTCTGTAGTAAAATATCCATTTATAGTTGTGTAGGAAATGTGCAATTCTTCAAAGACACCAAGAAGGAGCTTACAGCACCAAAAATATAACCTTGTCTAAGATTTTATTAAGTCCAGTTAAATTAGTACATTTTCTATATAGTAGGACCTTATTAAACATAGTATATAGGTTCCATGTGGATGGTTTACAGATTGATTCATTTACATTTCAAGCTAAATTATAAGAATTTTTCTTTTTTGAAATACTAATGGTTTAGTGATACAAGTCTTACTAATTAACTCATAGCTGGAACAGAAGAGGTACTTTCATACTTAATCAGAATTTGATAAAGAAATTATAAAGTGGGGGATCAATTCCATATTACAATCAATATATAAACTTATATCTCACTTTGTGATCACAAAACTTTCTATACATTTATATTCCAGAGAATGTAAATAACAATAAAAGACATGCCTGTGTAGCTGATAAGTATTTGATTGATTGGTTAGTTTTTTTACAGATTATCAACCAAGTTATTTAAAGCCAGAAAATATTTTTAGATTGTAAGGATTTTTTTTTTTTTGCAATAATAATAGCTTAGTGATACAAGTCTTACTAATTAAGGAGAAAATATCGATTTATACCTTTCCCAAGGGTATTTGCACATAAGTGAATTTAACAAACCCAACTGGTATTTGAACTCTGCTCTCCAATTAACAATTCCAAACCATTATCATTACCCACAGATCCAAGCTTACAGCACCTGCAATTCCCAAGCAGTTCCCCATCTAGATACTGACCAGGCTTGATACTGCTTAACTTCAGTGATCATATGGGAACTGAATTTTTAACCAAAATTTTCACTGTATAATAATACTCACTCTTTATGGTCATCACTGAATTAAATGAACTGACAAGGAAGAAGATTATAATAAAAATAAATTCTACATCTACAAAGTTCTTAAGTGAAATAGCCATTTTGATTGGCAGTTTATCCTTAACTGTCATAGAATTATAAGTTGCAATAAAAGAAACATAAATAAGATGAAAGATTAGTCAAAAATGAATAATAATGACAATGCAGCAACTAAGAATTTCTGACCATTATATCTAATATGACTAGTATATATAAAGAAACAGGATGACAGCAGAGCAATGATCAAAGAAATAAGGACTATAGATTTATGGCTTATTTGAATAATGTCTACCAGTAATGGCCAAACTTGGTAATATTACAGAAGACAAGCTCCCAAAGATAAGGAATCCAAGCTTAAATCTCACCAGTGATTTAGTGCTTATTTCTGGTCTATGCTGTTTCTGTAATGGTCTTGAATAGTGACAGAAAAAAGAATAGTAAAAAGCAAGTAAAAAAATTAATACTAATATCCTTATTTTTCGTAATTATGCAATGTTAATCGTTATCGTCTTCTTGTTTCCTCTTTTATTGTTCTCACTCTTTAATAATGTTTTCTTTTTCTTATTCTTTCACACTCAGTAACCCCCTTCTTTCTTAGTGGCTTTACTACCTTGCTGGGGATGAAATTATTTAAAGATTGTAATCATCTCTTTAAATAAAGAATATATTTAAATTTTGCTTAGAATAGCACAAAGCTGCATATAGCTACCTAAGCGGTTACCCAAACAAGTACCAATCAAGTTGAATGATGCTTAACTTCAGTCATCTGACAAGAACTGGTACTTGATTGTAAGTATCTTTCTAAGTGGAGATATATTCCCCTTTTTCAACAGTTTACCATGGAAATTAATCAAATTGCAAATAATTAACTTTTTCTATAATTAGAAAAAAAAAAAAAAACTTTCTATACCAAAACATTATAAATTATACCTGATGAAGATCTAGACAAAATGCAATTAAGTAATAAACTAATCAATCTTCTCTCATCTATAATTCTAAAACAAGTGTACTGTCTAAATGAACATGTTCCAACAATGTCTGTAAAGTCTTCATCTGATAATTTCGCTAAGTTCATCAAACCCTGTTGTTAACCAGTCAGGTCAGTCAAAGAACCAGCCTGTGTGAACTCTTTACACTGTCTTACATTGGCATTTACTCTCTTCCTTTGTCCAGTCTTGCAGGCCACTTGGTTCTAGATGACATCTAATTCAAATTTCTCTCTGGTTTGTCATTAATGACCTCTTCCCCTCCCTCTCTAGCACTCACACAGCAATTCACTCTTATAATACAATTTCTATTCACTTCTCAACTGTCTTCAATTAACACTTTTCTCTCTTTCTCTCTCTTCCTGCCTGATCTCTTCAGATGACGTGGAATTAATGGTTACCTTTAACAGCCCTTTGTAGATAAATAATAGACACCTTGCCTTTAACAAAAGATAAGCAATTGTTTAATGGAGGTCAAAACTTGGTGTTAAATCGCAAAGATCAGGTTCAAGTCAGCAGAATGGATGGACCTGCTTTTCTGCTTGTTGCTCCCAAATTTGATAATTTCTTGATCATTAAAAATTAAAAACAAATTTTTGCAAAAAAAAAAAAAAAAAAATTTCATGACAGTCTGAAATGCTTTGTGAAATTCAAATTTATAATTGTATTCAATCACCATATTCAGTGAACTTTCTATTTCTTTTCCCAGTAGATAATACCACACTCCCTGCTGTAATAAACTATTTCTCCACATTCAGTTTATAATCCCAGATCTTCACATACATATTTTTTTATGCCATCCATCCCAAGAGATAATGATGTTTCCTTTGAAGGAACAGTATATTCATAAATGTATTTTTTTTTAAATGACTAAGCATGTGCAGATAGTTTAACAATTATTGGTGCAGAAAGGAGAATCAGTAATGGTGTCTAGATCAACTGTCTCCATTGAAGAAACATTCAGCATTCATTGGCTAAACAGTATTACTGTAAGTTGAAAGTTATAAAATCTTTTTCTGAAAACAGTTTTTCAGCAAATTAGACTTAACTGCACTAACTGTTAAAGCTATTTCTAATATTGATAGGAGTTTCCTTCCAAACCTTTTGTTTTTGTTACTGTGGAAAATCAACATTTAGATTATATCATTATTTTCTCTTCTAGTTATATGTGCTACCCTTTTTATTTTATTTATTTATTTTTTTTTTGCTAAAAGTAAAGTGGTAAGTTTTTTGTTATTTGGTAAAACTCTTTGTGATTATATAGTCTATAGAGGATGATGAAGCATTGTCTTCTTTAAAGCCTAAAGGACTTGAAGCCATTTTGCATCAGCCGAGTCCAAATTCCAATGTTATCTGGTATATTCACTTTCACACTAATGACATTGAAAAAGGCATGAATCCATCTTTCCTCACCCAATTATGGATTAAATAGCAGGATAGACTGGACTCTCTAGCTTTGGATAGCAGCCAATCTAAGAGAAGAACTACTCTGAATTCAATCGCTATAGAGAAAGCAACTAGAAACCACTCAACTATCTTTCCTAAGAAGTATGGTAATTCACAGATGATAAACTGTAGAAAGTCATGAAGAGTGAAGAGACATGGCCCTAAAAAAAAAAAAAAAAAAAAAAAAAATTAAAAAGAAAGAAAATAGGGTATTGCACAAATCCAGATCCACCATCTTGAAATCCCTTCCAGAATTCTGTTACAAGTTTGGGTCCAAGACAACTGTTATAGGATCAGTTCTAATGAATATACTTGAATGCTTAGAGTTCATTTTCATGCTTCACAGCACATGTATACACAGCTGACTTAAATCCAATTCTAGACTTGCAGTCACATAAGGTTAGAGAGCACTGTCTGTTCTGCTATTTAATTCATAGCTCAGAGGAGAAGAGATAGATTCTGTGAAATGAACACAAAAGACACAGCCAGAATTTGAACTTAGCTTTCAGCACCATTAACCATTATGCTCGCTACATATCCAGTGAACATATTATTATTCTGTATATTGCACCCAAATACTGACCCTGTATTGTTCGTAATATAAAAACAATTTTAAGTATGATGGTCTTAAATCTTCAAATTACAATGATACTTCAATTAGATAAACAGTATCATCAATAATCTCAAATTTGACAATTACAAGACTGACCACTTGACAGAAGGTATGTTTTGTACTAATAGTTTGAAATTTTTTTTTTTTTTTATTTTAGTAGAAGCAGAGTTAACTATTGCTAAAGCCAAGTTATCAGTTTCACACTCCTCCTTAGTCTTGGTGTTAAATCACAAAGATCAGGTTCTAGTCAGCAGAATGGATGGACCTGCTTTTCTGCTTGTTGCTCCCAAATTTGTTCAAACAGGAGTAGAGGTTTATCCCTTGTTCACAGTTTAGGATGGGTTTCTGGTTCCTTTTAAAGTCTTTTCCATCCTCTTTTAATCCCAGTAGTCCCTTGCATCCTGGTGGGATCAAAGCCTTGCTTGATGTGAATTGTAAAAAAAAAAGTGCTGATTAAAATGACACATGGAATCATCAACTTTTTAGGACATTTGAATTATTTCAGTGACCATATCCTTCTCTCTTTGATTAGTTTTAACTTTTACTGCATGATACCATGAAAATTTAAACCAGTGTTATTAAGAAGTTTTTACTTGTGAGTGATATAATAAAAACCATCTTGAGATTTATGGTCTTACAATTTCTCCAAGTTCATCAAACTCTGTTGTTAACCAGTAACTTTGCAAAATTTCAATGTCCAGTAATTTTTAAGCAATATGTTCTAAAACTATTAGTTTGCTAATATCAAGAAATGCAGATCATCCAGATTGACCAACCAAAGGAGCTTGTGTAAAATTAAATTTTCAAAATATTATTGTACAAAATATGCCTTTCTCTTATGCAATCAGTCTTGAGATTATCAAATAATAAAATTATCTAACAGATTATACTGCTTTTCAGCTAAAGCAAAAAAAAAAAAAATAGGAAGTTTACTCAACTGTGAATCATTTTGTGAAAAGATTAATTTCTTGTTATCAGATGCTACCTAAATGTTGACTTGAAAATACCTCAATAGCAAAATGATTGTGATTTGTGCTTGCATACAGGAACTAAGCCCACTCTATCACCTGATGAAGAGTGAAGAATTATCATATGGACATAAAATAAACTTCTTAGAAGATACAAAATGATGTTATGTTTAGACAGAGAAATACATATGATCCAGGATGATGACAACATTTCAGACTTTAAGTTCATGCATTTTGTATTGTCTTTGGCTCTAACATTACATCACAAATATTTTAATTCTTATAATTTAATTTTTTTGACAAAAAGAATTAGAATTTTATTTTCAAAAGAGAATTATTTTCTCATTGAGAAAAAAACACTTGGGAGTGATTGACAAAATTTCACATGAAATATTTATTTGTCCAGTTTCTTCTTACACTTGCAGGGAATTAGATAGTGGTTCAAGATAACTGATATGATAATGAGGTCAGCAAAAGTAAGGATCATCGTGGAATGGTTGATGAGAAATCTAGTGAAAGATTCTTGGTGATCTTACTCTACAATTGTCCCAGAGTAAATGACAATATATTTTGCCAATATAATATCATAAAATTATCCTGGTACAAAATGATTACAAAACAGTAAATACTATATATATATATATATATATATATAATTTGGTTGGATAGATCTTGAGTTTGTGATCCTGGGTTTAGCGATCGTCAGACAAAGTGTGAAACCCAGGATCACAAACTCACATCTATCCAACCAAATATGTTAGCTCTATCTCTGATATTGAGTGCTTTCTAATAAGTACCACACATATAATATATAAATAATTATACATATATATATTTATTTATATACACTTTTCACACACACATATATATATATATTTATTTATTTTCGAAGAGATCATAATTGCTATGAGAT